CTCTTCACAACATAAAACCATTACCAGCCTAGTCATGTGCTCACTGTCTCAGGACTTAGCATGGGGAAGAGGATGAGACACTGCAACCTCTGAGTGCCCTGCTGCAGAAACAGGGCAGGCTTGCATTTTACAGAACTTTTTCTTCTTGATTATTTCCTCTGCAAAATTAAAATAAGCAATTTAAAGGCAAATTTGAATTAGCATATTGAGGACAGTTTATTATTTATGAGATGGAAATCAGGATCTTGGATGACTGAACTCATTAAAGACCATTTGGAATAGTTCCCATCTATTTCTTCCACGGTACCCACACAACAAATAATTCACACAGTAATTAATGCCACGTCTTCCCAAACAATACACGCTTCCGACAGGAACTGTTCAAATAGGAAATGCATGAAACTGCACTGAAATAGCAATAAGCTTAAAATACATACCAGCAAAACCAGGAAGGCTTGTGTTAGTGTGATCACAGCTGTTTTAGCTGAACTTACTGGGCCAAAGACATCCCTGAATTAGCTCAGAGGTCAGGGCAGTTAGACAAGGGGTAGGTTTGGTCGGCCAGACCTCTGCACTGGCACAGCTCTCGTCTGACCTTGTGTCAGGGGTTTACAACAGGCAGCACTCTGTCTTTCTGCCCAGGCAGACTACACGATGTAGCATAAGCCTATTTTCCTCCCCAGCTGTAGCCCACAGGGCTATTTGCATAGCAGTGAATTAAATACTTCTCCAGCATTGCAAGTACCTGTGAAAAGTTCCTACAGGCATAGCTACGCTCTGCAAAGCAGCGCAGCCCTGGGATCCCCCCCACGGGGCCAGCCGAGGAACCGGCAGCAGGACAGCTGTGTCAGCACAGTGCCGTGCCTGGACTAGCCCTCTCAAGAGCTGGGGAGGTAATTAGCTCAGGCAGGCTGCCACATTTTTAGCGCCTAAGAGCCCTGCATGGCAACGTGGTGAAATACGCAGATGCACAGGCCTCTCAGAGCATCTCCCCTTGTGCTGCAGTGCTCACTCCTGAAATGCAGGAAGGAGCTGGTCGGGTCTTGCAATAAGGAATTGCTCGCTTCCAGCTGCTCTTCACTGCCTGCTAAGGAATGGTGGCTTCACCGCCAGGCTGTGGTGCTGCATTTCAGAAGCAATCGAACCAATCCCGATGGTAGCCACTTGCCATCACTCCACAGGGCAAGGGCCTGGGGGGCTGGCAGGGATGCTGTGTGATCTGTGCATCCCAGAGATTTGTTCCCTTCCAGGGGGTACTTATACACCCAGCTTCTCTGCGAAACACCGGTCATATCTTACAAGAGGAACTCGGGCACAGAGAAATTAGATCTTCCCAAGGAAACGTATGACAAAAGAGAGAGTTGAAGCTGGATCTCCCACATTTACCATCCTAAAACATAGTTTGTTATTTGCTTCTAAACAATAAAGCAATGTAGCAGGCCATGATTTTGCCCTGTCCATACACTGAAATTTCACACCACAGCCACCACCATGTTAAGTAAGAGTCAGCAAGTTACAGAGGTTAGCAGGGCACCACTGGGAAGTTCTCCATACTTGCTGCCTGGCAGAGTAAGAGTAAGGACAAAAGCTTGAACGGATGAAGCATGCGGGAGAGGCATTGCTGTTGAGACCCACGGAATTAAGGTGTCAGCCAAGAAAAGGACCTCATCTTCAGAGTGGAAATCCCCCTGCCAGGCAAGCCGGGGATAAATATTCATTAGAGAACCATCTGTCTCTCAGTCCACCTTACAGAACCACGGGACTGCCACCACGTCTCCTTGGAAAACAAGAAGGAACATGAAAAATACAGGGCTAGTTGGTTCCTCTTTTTGCGACCTCCACAAGCATCATCATACCTCCTGTTCATTAAGTGGGATGAAATATTTCTGCCCCCTTCCTACCAGGCACAGGCACTTGGGTATCACTGAGCGTCCTGGTCCAGCTCTGCAGCTCTGCCTAACAACATCCCTGGCTCTTTTTGTTTTGCTCTCTCTAAAGGAAAGCTCTCAAAGCAGTCAAATTGATTTTAATTTGTTTTTAAAGGGAAAAAGAGAAACAGCTTAGAGGTTGAAAATGTGCAGTAAACAAAACAGCTGTACTGTAAACCTTTGAAAAAACATACTTTAAAATGGTAATTATGACAGATTAAACAATGAGTGTCATCAGTGTGATGGTACAATGCACACAATACTGTTTCCTACTCAAATATTTGCAGACATCTCCAATTTTTTATTTTAATGAAATCTCTTCTAACTATTGAATTGACTTTAAGAACCATTCTGAGGCTCACAAGAGCTTTCGCTGTCAGAAGCTCTGTCAGATATTTGAACTGCAATTTGCCCCCAGTGGTTCCCAGCTTGAGCTAGAGAAATGCTGTAAACGTAGCTTTTTAGGAGGTGATGAGTCTGAAAAATCACTGCCTACAGACAGAATGCTAAACCCCGAGAGGGACTGAGGACCTATCCTGCTTTGCAGTTACGAGAGGAACTGTGAGGACCCCCCACACCTTGAAGAACACTTTTGGTGTGAATTTTCTCTGCTTCCCAAACATATGCCCGCAACTGTGCTGCTGCCTGATTGAGCTGTCCTCTTCGGATGGCTAAGCACCTGGAATTCTGTCATCATTCAGTACATATGTGCATGACAAGTATGGGCCGCAACCATGAAGCCAAAGAAAATAAATCGATCCCTTGGAGAACTTTCTGAGGGCTTCCCAGCTATTGGATGGGGAGTAACGCAATTTAAACAACGACACATTAATGCAAAATGACAGCATGCGAATCCATGGGGTTTCCATTAATACCAAATGAGTTCATGATGGTTTATATCAAATAAAAGGAAAGACTGATGGTAAAGCCTCCATGTGCTAATAACACCCAGTTATTTAAGGAAATTGGCTTTGCTGGGCATTATGCAAAGACTATTCAATGGGCTGAATCCTGAGGCTGACCTTTCACTATTGTTTTGTTTTAAGCAAAAAAGTCTATTGGCTTTAATAAAAGCTTTTTTAAAATAAAGGAAATCACCTTAGATGTGACCCTTATGGGTACGTCTCATTGTCACGTTCAATATAGTTGTCTAACCTCCTGTATTTGTGACATCCTGCTTCCCGTTGGCTCTCACAGTGTCATTCTCCTTCAAGTATTTGCCAGATTTCCCCATGTTTCCTTGAAGTGTCTGCCTGGACTGAGTTTCCTCAGATCCAAGAAAGATGACAAGGACTGCTCAGTACAGAAGCTGTGTTTTGCCGCAGTCTCATTAATCCTTGAAGAAATTTGGAGTCAGAAGGCAAGCTGGCACGGGTTGTATTTCCAAGCTGGCTGTGAAAGCCCTGGATTCACACATATCTTAAAGGCCAACACTTTTCCCCTCCCGAGGTAATGAGAAAACAATCCTGTGTGCCACCCCTGCTGACTTTGCAGAAGTAACTCAGCCATAAGCCTTAACTCTCACCACTCTGAGAAAGTAAAATAGTAAAGACAGCAATGAAATCATTAAAAAGACAGGAAACAGATTGGTGTTTGCCAATGGAGAAGGGACACACAATGTAGCAAATAATGCTTATTTTAACACTCCCAAAGTCTGCTAAAGATAGTACAGAATGAAAATAAATGTGAGAGCTATCAACCTGAAGTAACAGGAGTTCACAAGTATCTTTAGGGCAGGAACACAAGGGAGGTATTTTGGACCTGTATGTCTGAAGAGGTTCTGTACCAGCTGTTCCAACCACCCAACTGATTGGGGCACTTTGTGGACAGGAGGGTACACCCTGAGAAGTGGGGAGAAACCACGGTAACCTTCATTTTGATGGATCTCAAAACACCGGTGCCAATAATACCATTGCAACTGTTCTTACACTGCTCTAGACATCACTAGATCTGGGTCAGCACAAAATTAAGGATCATGAAGTTGAATTTGGAGACAGGAAACAGCAAAGCTCCCTGCAAAACTCTGCACAATATACAAAAGCATATGCAAACAGTAATTTCTGAATAGATTTAACATTCTCATTTTACTTTATTCCTTTTCAAAACCTTTCCTAGATTCAAGAGAGAAACCTAAATACATTGCAAAAACCTCAAATGCTTTGCTCATGTATTTAATAATTTTTCATTTTTTCTGAACCGAAGAAGAGAGTTCATGAAAACCGAGAGCTATCAAAGGCTGGCATCCTTATTGCTGAATTTCTTCCTGTTTATTGCCCTTTTGCAAATGGCTGACTCAACAGACAACTGCGAAAAGACTAAATAAGTCTTCTCTGGGTGGCATTTTAAGCTGGAGTATTTTAAGAACTGCTATTATGTTGCAGCTGAATATTCCAGCAGACTGTCTGACCCCCTTCTGAATCAGAGTGCCACCAGGCTAAATATTTGCACAAATTCCAAGCATTGCCCTGCAGATTCTGCACAGAGAAGAGCAATTTTATATCCAGGTCAACCATGGCTCTTTACTCCAGCATTTGATCTATAAAATCTGCAATCTTTAGAACGACACCAGCATAAGTATATTTGATTGTAGATCTAGCAAAATCAATGTCTCAAGATCTTTATTTATTTTTTCTAATAGTCATATTTCTCCATCCTTAAACAGGTTAACATGTGGTTACATCCTTAAACAAACACAACTGTATAGAGAGCTCTCTTTGTATAGAAAGATCAATAAATCTGAAATTTTACAGAAATTCAGGGCAAAAGAAGGCATTCCAAAAGATAGATTTGAACCAAAGTTGCTGGGTTGCTGCTAATGATACCAATTGTCTGGGTTGGATTTTTTTGACATGAAATGTTAGTACTTCACACATACAAATAAGGTCAGTGAAAGACTTCACTGAATCAGCAAAATTCCTCAGTCTTCCAGTCTTTTAGAAAAAAACAGGAGAATTGAAGTCTAGGTCTAAGAAAGGAGGACTGAAAAGATTGCACTGAGAAGAACCAGAGCTATTTTAAAAAGATTACTAAATGTAACTAATGCAGGTCCTAATATGTGCCTGCTGTCTTTAGAGCAGTAGCAGGTAATGAAACTTGGCTCCATAACCCTGCCTCTCTGAGGAATGCCTATTTTCTAAACCACTCTTTTGTGACATACAATCTAAAGAACCGTTACCGTAAGTCTCCTTAAAATGGCAGTTAGTAGAAACTAGGACTAGTGGAAAGAAATAGGTCTTTTTTTCTAAGTTGCAACTCAACAACAAAACGCTGCTTTCTATTCATTTTGAAGAGAAATACGTTCTTGTGACTAGAGGATTGTCTTAATAAAACATACCAACAAGAGCAAACCTAAAAATCAATACCCCTATTTGAATAATTGTTTTGTCACTAACTTGCTGATCTTACACAGCTTATTAACACCTATAGTTTTCCCAAGTATTCAGTATTCTTTATTTATATTGTCTGTGCAGAATGAAATACAGAAAGAGGGATGATTTTCAGGGACATGAAACTGAAAATTCCAATTCTCAGAATTAAGAGACTAGAAATCTTGGACTAATTATCACAATCACAGGATGCCCATCTGTAAAATGAACAAAATGCCTATCTATCGTCTTCCCAGGGGATCTCAAGAGCAACTACTTGACCACCATTAAATAAGTCTGTCATTTCAATGTATCAGGGGGTCTTTTGTCATTCTTCCCTTACGGAGAACGACAACTAAACTGTCAGGCCCTCCTGGGATGGGAATGGTCTAGAGGAGAAGAAAACACAAGGAAAACAGATGACTGATGACAGGACATGAATGTGGCAGTGAAATGGACTGGCCATTTGTTTCATCTGCCACAATGTCAATACAATGGCAACACGCAAACCCTAGCAGCCTTGATGGCAGAGGATTTGTAGCTCTTAGTCCAGGTGCTTAGAATAGAGGCAGTGGAGGAACTGAGAACTTAAATCAGTTACGTCTTAAGCCCTGGTCACAATTCAGAGATCAAACTCCTTAGCTCTCTTCTCAGACATAACAGCTAATGAAAGGTGTCCTTTAAATAATAATGATCATAATGATCAGGGACCTAAGCAGCAGTGAAGGATTGGATTCTTTAACCATTTCCCACTGGTTTCTGCTTTTCTAAAAAGCAATTGTGATTTGGCAGAGGAAGGAAAGGGGGAAAAAGGAGGAAATAAAAAGAACAAAAGAAGAAAGGATTGGTCTTTCATTTAGTTACTTCCCTAGTGGTAAATGGTGAAGGTGTACTGTAACTTTAACCAAACACCATAAGTTTAGGACACACTGTTTTAGAGTCAACTTACTAATTGAACAAAATTTTCTTCCCACCTTGGCAAGTATTTACTGTGCGTGTGGCATGGAGACTGGTGTAAGGGAAGGGCAGTCAGAGAGGGAAGGGCACTCTCTTTGCCAGGAGGGAGGCGAGGAGTGAAGTTCTCCACAAGGGTGACCACAGCAACTCCCAGATTACATGGAAACAGGACAGAAAGTAGGGCTTTATCAATCTATGTCCAAGGCACTCACGCATTACAGAGATGGAGACATTAAATATGAAGAGGTGACATTTACAGCCAGTGAGAAAAATCTAATTAGCGTAGAACCACCGTTTTTAAAATCTCAGATTTTAAAAAAGAACCTGTGGAAGGACTCCAGCACACAGCCCTTAGCACAGGCAGAAAACAGTTTAACATCCCTCCCTGCCTCCACAGCCACTTCTGCTGGCAGATGGGGCACAGCGTGCCATCCCCTGCTCCCCTGGCTGTTACTCATTGTGGTCCACAGTGGGGAAAACACAACCAGGGCCTGGGCCGCGGCCTTCAGAGCTGAGGGCTGGGGCACAGTGGGCAGGCCGCAACACGGCTGTCGCGAGCCCCACGCTGGGGACACAGAGGTGGCCACGGAGAACTGCTCATCTCCCTGCCCATGGGATCAGGGGCTAAATAGCCTCTCAGAGTCCCTGCGCTGGAGGGGTGGCGGGTAGCGACTACAGCTCCTGCCGCGACACCGGACGCACGGCCGGCACGGACTACAACTCCCAGGGTGCTTTGCGAAGGCGCGTTATGGGAACGCTGAACGCCTTCCCCGTGGCGCTTCTCTCGCGAGAGAGCCGGCGGCCTCCCCTAACACCTCTCGCGAGACCTGGGCCTGGGGGCCGCCATGGCGGCGGAGGCCCCGGAGGGTCTGTTCGCGCTGGAACTGCTGGTGGAGGCGGTGCGGGTGGCGGCGCCGGGCCCCGCGCTGCGCCCGGCCGTGGCGCTACGCCTGCTGGACTTCCCCACCCTCCTGCTGCGCCCCGCCGCCGCCGGGACCCCCCTGCGGCCGGGCCGGCCCTTCCCCTTCGGCCGCGGCAAGCGCTGCATCTTCCGCTGGAGCCGCAGCTCGCTCTGCGCCGCGCT